GTCTATGGGGTTGCTCTCGGACAGCCTAAAAAACACAAACCCTTTCAAAAAAAAAAAAAAAAAAAAAAAAAAGAGGTTAAATTTCTTAATAAGTCTTAGGTATATCTGGGTTAATATTAAGATCCTACAGTCAAAACATACTTTCATTATAAACTAGGGTTTTATTAAGTATAGAGCCTTGGGTAGGACACAGGTAGATATTAGCCTAAGTTTTGCAGACATATCTTTCTAGAGAGAAGGCTGTGGGGAAGTCATCCTCAGCTTCCCGCTTGCTCTCTCCATGTCTGCATACACAAAGCCAGGACGTACCTCCTGTCACTTCTTACGAAATCCAAATTGTGCCTTTTTCTCCCACAATTTTCTTATAAAAATTGGGAAAATGAAAACAAATGACTTATTGGGTAACACACTGTCAGGGCTAATGTGCAGATTCTATGGGGCACAAGGAGTTACTATGACACAGACTTACTATGACACAGACTTACTATGACAAGAGTTACTATGACACAGACTTACGATGATAAGAGTTACTATGACACAGGGTTACTATGACAAGAGTTATTATGACAAGAGTTACTATCACACAGACTTACTATGACACACACTTACTACACAAATCTTCTTACCTTGCTGTTAGAGGTAAAGACATCAAGATGCTTTCAATCCTGGATCCTGGAGTAAAGAGGCCAAACTTGGTGCCCCGGTCATACACCAGATTAAACTCCACATACCTGTCATAAAGACACCAGATAGTGGTAAGGGTGTATTGAGTGACACCTTTAAGAACTCCCTAAGGAAATTTAAGAGTGGAGCTTTTCCCCATATCTCCGTACCAACTGCAACCACACACAGTTTACACAGCTCACAGCCCAGTGGGCCCTCTCCTCTGGAAAGCAGAAATAAAAGGGCATTCTACCCGCTGAACAATTGGATGCAGATTGTGCCCAACACAGAGCAATCAATAAGGTTATGTTTTCCCCATGAATAAACAGTACAAACACAAATTGGGACCAGGCATGCACAACAATCAAGAAAGAAACAGCATTCTCTCCTGGGTAACCCAGTCCAGATCCTCACTATAGCATGAGGCATTTCAGGAAAAGGGCTTCATCTCAGTGTGGCTCACAGTGCTAGACTAGGAGTACTCAACTTCTATAGGTAAGTGCCAGGAAGTGCTAAGGGAGGAACTTACTACTGCTGCTGCTGCTGCTGCTACTACTGCCACTGCCACTGCCACTGCCACTGCCACTACCTCTGCCACTACTATTACTATTACTACTATTATTATATATTTATATAATATATAATATATTACAATACATGTAATATATTACAGTGACTTAACATAGCCAGGATCTGCCTCCTTCCCTACAGCAGTTCACAGCATCAGCAGAGATGGGACCACTCATCCCCTCCTCTCTTTATAGTCATCACTGTGAAAGCTCCTGCCTTGGGTTCAGTGCTTAGTTTAACTCTTTTGTTTTTTCTTTATGAAACTATCTTGGTATCAACTAAAGTTAGGCTGAGTGGTGTATTGTCCAAATTTTCTATTCCATCTAGCCTAATTTTTGAATTCCATCTAGTATAAACATTTGTTTCTGCCTTTAACACCATAGGATTCAAAAGTCTCTTCAGATTTAAAACTGTACTTTCTACTGTCCTAAAGAATTCAGAATGATTCATAAAAAAAAAGAATTTATGGGGGGGGAGACAATAGGGGATACAGATGACAAGTTATGAATACACTGTAAGAAACTGAAGCCAGCGCTGACCATAAAGGGTCTTTGAGATGATGCTGGGGTTATCTAAAGCCAGAGTCTATTGCTATGTCCCAACCCTGAGATAACAGTAACAGAGAGCTTCTCTTTAGAACATGGGTGACATACTAAGCCATGAGGAATTAACCTAATGTTTCACACATATCCTAAGAGAGGAGACAGGCAATGATACGCACAGCAGAACTCATAGAATGGCCTGTCATCAAATGTGAAAAAGAAAAAACTATTGTTGGTAATATTGCAGTAGAAGCTTCTCCTATGCGGGATTCCTAAACCTTTCACCTCTGCACACAGAATATGTCCAATAGTGAACCAGTTTTAACTAGCAATACCATCCCTACTGAACTATGAGCCATTTTCAGCATGTCTGTTATGTCAATTCCTATAGTCAGGGTTATGTCCAATCTCAGGAGACCCAAGATAAATTTAGAGAAAGGGGCCCAGAATGGGAAGCGTACAGGTAACAGATTGGCAAGGGCAGGGAATGGGGGCTTTGCATTGCTTAAAAACTTTCTAAAAGAAAACTGACTCTATTCTCACTTCATCAGGTTGTTACATGGGGACCTGACAGAGCACACAATTATTTAAGTAAAACAAGCACACAAACTCAGGAAGGTAAATACAAACATATTTAACTTTAAACTTGGAATGTGTTGAGTTGACTTCCTCAAGGCCTCATCAAGGGACAGGTCTCAGGGGCCTGAGAGTTAATATGAATTAGAAGAACTCAGGCTAATGTGACTTATGGTACATATGCAATTAAGATGACCAAGAGAACTGCTGGGGGCTGGGAGAGTGGGGGTGGGGAGCTGGCTCACGAGAACACTGGGACTGAACGCAATCTATCTGGTCACCTATCAACACATCAGGTTCAATACAGAGTCAGGGGCTGGGGGTAAGGATGGGTGAAAAGCACATACAGGGAGATTTTCACATCTGGGGTGTCATCAGATCTGCTGGGTAGTCTTGGGCAAAGCACTTATTGGTAAGGATACCTTATGATCAATAAGTGATAATGCCATATATACCACAGGTTTCCTGGGGAAATCAGACACACAATGCCTCATACAGGGATTATTTCTAAGAGGTCCAAAATAAGTAAAGGTGATCACTAAGACTGTATTACGATAGCACTTTCATAAAATATTTAAGATGAATATTTTAAAGTGTGAGTCGGAATTTATAAGCAAAAACGAAACAAAAACAAAACACAAAAAAATAAAAACAAAAAAAGAGTAAAAAAAAAAAAACCTTAAATGACACCCTCATCTTGGCAGAAGGTGGAAGCTGTCACTGGGAAATGAAGAGAAAAATTCCACAGGTACTTACTACGGAGATGTCTACCACAAGGACATGCACAGGTGAATTAAGTAAACCTTGTAATGTTGATTATACAATGTCATGAAGTTAATTTTTAATGTTCGTCTACTTAAGAAAAAAATGAGTGTGGATTAATATGAGTAATTATAAAATATTTAGCTAAAACAGCACAACCGCCATTGTTTCTGGAGCCCCTCCGCCACGGTTCCTGGAGCCCCTCAGCGCCCGTGAGCTGTGCAGACCAGACCGTTCACCCTTCAGTCACTCACCGCCCTCTCCTCAGCTGCTGCCACAGCTTATCCTGGGGCGTGTATGAGTCATCACAGTGCTTTGTCACAATGGGAACATAGGAAGGAACCACAGCCTCAGCACACGACTTCACGAAGCGGAACGCCTCCTCCTTGGATGGAGAGTCGAGATCATCAAAAAAGATGCCGCCAATGCCCCTCCGCTCCCCACGGTGCACTATGAAGAAGTAGTCATCGCACCTAGAACATGCAGCAGCGGAAAACCACGGACTCAAAGATGAGAAATACATGGGACTTGAATTTTCTATATGACTACGAAAATAGGACTTTAGCCAGATTTTCTACAGCTATTACCTCTGCAGAGCATACGTAGGCTCTCACCTGCAGAGTAAGCAAGCAATTCAAAACAAGCCAATCTGGCTGATGAGATAGCTTAGCTGTTAAGAGCACTGACTCTTCTTCCGGAGGTCATGAGTTTAAATCCCAGCTCACAACCACCCATAATGAGATCTGATGCCTTCTTGGGGGTATCTGAAGACACCTAACAGTGTATTTACAAGCAGGGCCAGAATAAGCAGGGCCCAGAGCGAGTGAGGCTGGAGCAAGAGGGAGAAGGGAAGGGGTTGGGGGGGAAACAAGCCAATCTAAAGGACAAGAACTACTAAGAACTTGTACAGATACAGCAAGAGTACAGCATGGCTACTGTACTTCCTAAGACTTCTGGGAACACTCCTGCTTTTACAGGAGGCAGGAGAGGAAGGTCTCCTAACATTGTGACCAGCTATGGTGCAACCCTGAGCTTTTATGTGCCTAGTGTTAATTCAGCAAGAGCAGGATGCTGTAAACAACTTTAGTATTGAGTGTCTCTTTTGGTATTAAAAGCAGTGACTCTAAGCATGTGCACCTAGGAAAAAGGCCGGCAGAGAAAAAGCTTACAGAATGTCTTCCTGTGTGTTAAAGGTTACCCTCCTGACCAGCACAAGAAGCCATCAGCCTACACTCGCTGCTTCCATCCACCGTCTAATAAAACAAGTCCCCTACGACACCACTTACTAATGCTAAACATGGAGCCTAGTCCTTAACCTTGAAAGAGTGCTTTTGATGATCTTGATATAAACAAGGCCCACAGGCAAGTTTTTTTCAAACAAACACAGAAAATACAGTCTCTCGACAGCTTACCATTTTTTAAATTTAGGGTAGAAGTCTGGCCCATGCTGATCACAAGCTTCCTTTAGAGTACGGTGGAAATGGACAGCATCCTCTTGGTTCAAGTATGTCGGTGTGAGGTCACATCCACCCCCAAACCACCAGTGTGTCGTACCTACGAAAGTAAGGCAGCTGAATCCAGGTTGCCTTGAGACTGAGAGCACACCACCAGTTGTACTAGCAAGCTTAATTCAGCCACTTAATTCATCACCATGAAATAGGTGGCAGTCAAAGAACATCTAACTGAAAATAGCTCTGACAGCCAGCTGAGGCTGGTGAGACACAAAAGCAGAAAGCAAAGGAGATAGGAAGTCAGGGAGAGAGAAGGAGCCAGCAGGGAAATGGAATGGAAGACCTCAAGTATTAATGGTCTGGACAGATGGTCTTGGCTGGGAATCTCAATGCTGGCTTAACAGTAGGATCACACAGCTCAAATGTCTCAGCCAAATCACTATTTGTAAAAAGTAATTTCTACCTCTGTTAAGGTTAACAAAAATTATCCAGGAGATTGTGATGTTCCCACTATTAAGACTCACCCCAAAGCCCCTTCCATTTACTCTAGAAAGGGAAAAAAATATCCTCTAAGGAGGGTAATTTCACGTGGTAATCTGCCACATAAGAACAATTGCTTCATGTACTCACACTTATCAATAAATTGGTCCACAAGACACAAGTTACCAATCTGTGTGTGTGTGTGTGTGTACAGTGTTTGTCTGTATGCAGGTGTACACGGGTGCGCATGCATGCACGTCCATCTGTGTAGAGGTCGAAGGTTAATGTGAGGTGTCTTCCTCAGTCACTTCCCCATGAGACTGGCTTTGAGTCAGGGTCTCTCACTAAACCTGGAGCTAACTAATTAGCTACACTGCCTGGCTCCAGATCTCCTCCTGTCTATTCTCCCTAGCTCCTGGCTTTTTAAATGACTGTGGAGTGGGATCCCAACTCAGGTCCTTGCGCCCTGTATATAGACTACATATATCTGTGTACGGGCCCCAGTGGCAAGTCCTCAATTTCAGAAATAACAAATTTATATTTTCAGAGACTTTGTGTGGGGGTGTTGAAGTTTGGGTTCACAAAAATCACTCTGTGTAGGGAAACGCTGGGTGAGAGAAGGAGTCCCATTCTGATGTTTCTCATCCTGTACATCCTGCCAAGACTATGCCTCTGGGATAGTCTAAAAAAAATCCTAAAGGTTTGTACTTTCTCTCCTTTTGATAGGGTACCTTTTGATTTTTTTTTTTTTTTTTAAATACAGACTTCAAACAACTCTTAAGAGGCTTACCATCAGCTTCTTCTACTTCAAAGTATCTGTAGTTGAAATGCATGGTGGGTGCATAAGGATTCTTGGGGTGAATCACAGAGCTTACACCCATAGCAGTAAATGGCAATTTACCTGGAAAGTAAAACAACATAGTTAGATGCACTCAGTGGCCCTGGCTTGACACAAATTACTTCCTTATGATTTCAGAATCCATTATCAAAAGCTGCCTTGTAACTTGTCTCTGAATTACAATTTTCACGATTAATGCATTCAAACACACTTACTGGGCATACACATCCAACGACCCTTCCAGAAAAAAAAGAGTTATTTTTAAGTAAAACTGGTGGGACATAGTTGGCAGGGAGAGTTATCTGACTTGCCATCTTTCTTCTTCAGAACTTTTCCTCTGCCTCTCATTTGGCTTGCTGCTTCCTCAGAAAGATTCCCGTGAACGACAGAGATGTTCACCCCAGCCTTTTCAAACACACGCCCATCCTGAAGCACACAGGTGATGCCACCACCTCCTGTCCATAGAAACAGAAAACCAGAGGATAGAGCACCGTCATATTCGAGAAAACTCTCCCATGAACATGGCAGCATGAGGTGCCCACTCCTCCCCTAGTTCCAAAACCATCTATGATAGCATGTATTTTCTATGTGCGATAGGTTGGATGATTAGCTTAGCTTTGTGTCTTAAGCTGCTCATGCTAGGAAAACACTGGGTCTAGCTACTAACCGCTACAATGGCTAGTTCTTCTGTGTTCTCCTGCCATTTCCTAATAACTCCAAGGAACTCTTTCTTCAAATACCACCAAAAAAGAAAACATTTGTTATTCACAAAACAGAAAGCTAATGTTACAGGCAAGTGTGCATTCACTGAATGGTGTTCTACTTTTACTGAATACAAGAACCCCATATTACTTCACAGTTTTTTACTCTCAATTTTACCTTATTACCTTTAATTTTTATATGCAATTTAAAAACATAGCTATTCAAACTCTTAAGGGGTTCAGAGTCTTAAACTAAGTGAAATTACACACACACACATACACACGTATGTATATATATGAGTTTAATAGGTTTTTTTCTTTAAGACAATAGGGTTAACAAAAAGTCATTGTTCTCAAAGTCTAATGTTTGGGTTGCTTTATTTCTAAGAAGAAGGGCACCATAAACAAAATCATAACACCTGAAAGAATAAATGATCTTTTTTCAAATGCTGACCATGTTTCTGACATTCTGAGTTCTCTGCATATATTCATAAATTATGAAACAGAGGCAGAAAATAGTAACTCCCAAAGGTTGCAAAGCTGGCTATCTAGTATTTGAGGTTGTGTCCTGGGTCGGTCAGTGGCTTTTACTTTAAAACACTATAGGATGGAAAACTATGAAAATCAGACTGAATCTCATTTAACACAGATGTGGCAGCTTCATAACTCAAAACATACTGATGATATGCTGTTATATTTCCAGCTGGGAAAAAGTCAGGAATCCTCAAGTTTAAAATCAAAATGGGAGGGGAGAACAGGGAAGACTACTCTCTGTATGGAACAACATGGTCACCAAACAGGACTCAACATGAATGGGTAGGATTTGGGGATTCTAAGGAATCCTTCAAGAAATTTGATGATGCAATTTAGTAAGAACTACAGGAACATTAATCAAATATTTCTTATGCAATCCCAAAAACAGTTGGGAGATTGTTGACACAGGGAGCCTCGGATCAGTGTTTCTTCTGCCTCTAATAGGACAAGGGACAAACGCACTCTGACGGGTAAATAAAAAGTATGTGTGTGGGGGGTTGGGATCTGTTCAGTAACAAACTGAACATTAAAGCTTCAGTTTGCTGCATGCAGATGTCCTTTAATAAACCTATAGAAAATGCAATTATGAATTGCCAATATTTTCAATATTGGCCTGCCCTATGTTGTTGGTACCTCTGGGTCCACATTTGCAAGCAGAGAGCGAACGGCTCTGTCAGTGTCAGTCATTCTAAGGGTGTTCCTTCTAACAGATCAAACACCCGTGAGTACTGTCTACTTTAACCTATCCCCAATCCTCAACTGCAACTGGTGCCCAACCAAGAAACAAGAGGGCTCGCCTCACCTTCCTTCCTCTCCCACCGGTCCACAGCGAAGTCGGCGACTCCGTCTACCTGTGCCAGCGCCCGACACACCTGGGCCTGGGTCTCCATAATCATCAGCTCCATCTTGGTCTTCATGTCCTCGGGCCTCCTCCGCAGCTCCCGCAGCTCGGTCACCGGTGAGGACATGAAGGTGCTGCAGCGGCGGGCCAGCTCGTCCCCGTCCTCCTCCCGCCGTCCAGGTGAGGGGCTCCGCGCCCCCGAGCTCTTGGGCACCATCTCCGCCCGGTGCACGTGCCCAAAGGCAGCGGCTGCCAGCCCTGTCAACCCCGCTAGCGCCGCGGCCAGCCCGGTCCCCAGCCGGGACCCGCCTCCAGCCGAGGGGCCATAGCCCAGCCCACGGCGAGGCTGGGTACCAGCCGTGCCAGGCAGCCGGCAGACGCGGGCGGACGCGCTGCGCGGGGACGCGGCGTGCATCTGTCCATAGTCACCCCGCACCGCTAGCCACCAGGGCCCCGAGCCCAGCCGGCCCAGCCGCAAGGCCATCTCCCGCCGGAACTGGGCAGTGCTGGTCCCAGAGACCTACCGGAGCTCCCGGGGTTCTGAGCCCGAGACTCCCCCAGGTACTGGAACCTGGAACCTGGAACCTGGAAGAGCCGCTGCGGGTATGGGCCGCAGGCTGACGGCGGGAGCTGAGGATGCTGGGAACTGTAGTCCGGTCCTATCGCCTCCTGCACTCGCCTCCCAGCTCCAGGAACTAGCAGATAAGACTCCACCCCGCCCACAGAGGTGGGTCCTATTGCAAGCACACAGGCCTCTGCCAGGCGACTGTGGAGGTGCTTGGACTGATAAGATAGGGACTTTAACCACGTACGTCTTCGATTGCCCTGCTCGCTCACCCACAGTGAGCAAAAGTGGGACTAGCAGGCTGAGGACAAATGGGCAGAAAGACGACCCACAGACACACCCCTTGTCTTAGTCCTAGTTGTGGGTCTGGAGGATGCCCCTTTGTCCCTGTGCTGGGCTTACCCAAAGATTTCAGAGTAGTGGGCTCCTGAGTAGATCCAGAGAAAATATTCACGCTCCAGTTTACTTTCCTGGATCTCTGTTCTTCCCCCATAGCCCTACACGTTGAAAATATGAGGACAGAAGCTCGCACATTTAATAGGTTTGTTCCAAGCCGTATGTTGTCTAGACACGGGTGTCATTGTCAACATTATATTATCAGAAGGGCTCACTGGCCCTTTAACTATCCAAGGTGATTTTAATTTCTACTAACAAATAGTAATTAGGCCACTGGTTATTTTTCCACAAGCTTCCACTCTGGCCAGGGCAGTAGTAGAATCTCAGTATGTATGGTTCTTACCGGTCTGCTTGCTCCACTGCCTCTTTATACAAAAGGAATCACAAACTGCCTGGAACAGCATGTGTGCTCAGGCCAGGCAGGTAAGAGGGTGGCAGGCAAATGACTTCACCGAGAAGTGAGGAAGCTTGCAGAGGACAGAAACCCTTAACTTTCAGCCGTAGTTTACCCTGCCCGGAGGCCGGCTTGGAAGAGAAGGAAAGATAAGAATTATCTCTTGGAAGGTTGCCTCCTTCGAATGCTAGTAATGGGTCTGGCTGGACCTGCTGGTGATAAATGAAGCTCTTTAATGAAAAGGAATCTCTCTAATTTCTCTGTATGAAACTTCTCCATTTATGCTCCCGTTCTGCTAATGGGAAGCTAATAGTCAAAAAATAAGCAAACAGGAAATCTTGGAGACTTGCTCAGAGAAATAAGTTGGCCCTGAACAAATTGTGTACAAGCTTCCAGCCTGTTTGGATGTCTCTCTCCTCCCCTTCTCTGTCCCCACCTTTAATTTTAATGTACAGTGCTTAATGGAATCCTTTTTTAAAAACCTGATTTGTGTGAGAGGAAAAAAGCCACCATCTTCCTAGAAAAGCATAGTGGCACACACATTTAATCCCAGCATTCAGAATGCAAAGTCAGGAAGACCTATGTGAGTTTGAGGCCAGCCTAGTCCACATAGAGACTTTCAGGACAGCCAGGGCTACATAGTAAGACCCTATCTCAAAGGAAACAAACCAACCACTAAATAAATAAATAAATAAATAAATAATAAATAAATCATCTTCACGATAGCTTAAATTACTCCTAAGTCCTATTTGTTAGTATTTGGCATAGAAGTAAGATGTCCCCTCTCTAAGCAAGCTGATACATCAGAAAGCTACTGTGGACAAATAAAAGGTCAACAAGTTGTAAACAGAAGCTGTGCTGTAGGGTTATGCATCTGCATCTAAATTCGCCTCTCGTAGTGCACTATGATTTTATTCTCTGTGAGGCTCCACAAGCCAGGAAATCCTGATGAGCTGTATGCCATCTCCCTAGGTCCAGACAGACAGCTGGCCATCTTCAAACACCACAGGCTTCTCCGAATCCTTGCAAATTTGATCTTTCCCCTGTTAAAAACTAATAGCTAATTCTATGCCCTGATATTGGTGTATTCATTTTCTCTGTTTAGGAAGAGTTTGAGGAAACCACTTTATTTCTCTGTTATGTGCACTCATGCACGTGCACACACACATGCCTGTGTACCTGCACAGGCATTCACACGATTTCCAAGTGTCTTTCCTAAATTATACTATGTTTTACCAATTCCCTGTGCTAGCCAAACGTGAGATGTGTCTTATCAACATGACTCAATCTATTGCTTTCAGACCCATACAGAAACTTGGGCTAATTGTTAACAAGATATTGATAAGCATGGCCTTGTTAGAACTCTAGTTGTGATGGAAGAAGAATTAAGTGAACAGAAAGTGAAAGTTTTGAGATTTTAGTATTTTGTCCTAGGATTTACATTTTTAATTTGTCATCATCGTACATATTTAAAAGAAAAATCTTAAGGGATCAGTTGACTTAAATCAATATACAGTTAGGCATAGCACATACCTGTTATTCCTGCACAAATGAGGCTGACACAGGAGGATTACTGTAAGTTTGAGACTAGCCTGGGCTACTACAGCCCTATGTATTAAGTATGCAGTGTAATTTAGTGCGGTTAATTTGACTTGCTCTTTCTCTAGTTACAGTAATTGTAATTGGATATTCAGAGTGATATGTGAAGAAACCACTCAAATATTCCAAGAAAAATTTCTGTAAGAGACAGATTCATGGTGTCTACCCTTCTGTTTCATCTTTAGTCCTTAGTTTCTCTCTAATTTTTTTTTTCCTACAGCAATCTGGATGCAATTTGATCACAATGATTCTGTGGCTGAGACTGTGAAAGTTTCATAGAACACCTTAGACAGCAGGTAGCTCAGCAGAGCCTGTGTTCTGAGGGCATCTTTGAGCGAATATACCAGGTCATGCTGCTTTCTTTTAGACATCATGTGATATAAATGCAAATAATTTAAGGAATGCATTTGTTCCTTAAGTCTTACAGATATAGACTCTGTCCAGATGGTTCCATTACCCACCTTGGGAGAGGGATGATGTAAGGGTATGGTAACTTCCAAATATGGTTAGTGTTTGGGACTTGGGGAGGGGGTGGTGAAACTGTATCATGTCATCTCTAGAAGAAAAAAAGAGAAGACAATAGCATAGATGCTCATTGAAAGGGTGGATTAAATCTTGGGCAAGCCTGGCAACCCGAGTTTGATCCCTGGAACCTATATGGTAAAAATAGAACCAACTTCTGTAAGCTGTTTTCTGATAGTTGTTAAGAGAAAGAGAAAATGTTGAAGTTGATTCTGAAGAACCTCACTATGTCTCAAAGGTATGTTAATAATGGGCAATTCAGAACTAGCAAGCACACAGAGCAGCAGTTTCTGGGGAGGGGGAAGGGCAGGAGGCAAGTATTTAATACATTTGGCTTGTAATATAGGTATTTCTTCCTAGTTAGCCAAAGTTCTGAATGTAGGACATTTGCTGAGGTTTAGGGCTTTGTGACCACCTGACCCCATCAGCGTTAAAGGCTCTCCCACAACCATTCTTCTGCCAGGGGTCCATGGGTCATTTGGGAAGAACTTGGGAACAACGTACTGGTACATAAGCATGTGTGTTTACTTTTTTTAAAGCAGTCAGGAGTAATGAGCCTTGGGTACCTGTAGAGGAGCCCTCCTCATATAACAATGAGAAACTCAACATTGCTTATGTGCGCCTCCCTTCACTTCCTTCATGTCTTCGTGAAACACACAACAAAAGGTCCTGACTCAAGAAAAGCAAATCTGCTCCCACAGCTGCCCCCAAATATTCATCTCATCTGTGGGGAAGGATCACTCTTGGAAAACACGCATTCAAGAAGTTCAGTCTTTAGCCGTACTGACATCATTTTAAATCTGGATGACAGGGATCAGTTCTCTTTTTTTTCTGCATTCATCCACAGTCATCTTTTTATCCTGTTCTTGGAACCTGCTTCTTAGAAGTGAAGACCCTTAGGGTGGTAACAGAGCAGGACAACCACATTCAAAAGGCTTTCTGCTGCAGATGGGTTGCTGTATAAATGGAGACGTGGGCCCCCAGGGTGTGAGGGCTAAGGATGAATGAGCAGGCTCACACAGAAGCCTATACAGAGCAAGAAGTTCAAGGTCAGAAATAAGAGCAACGGATCTTACCGAGGACACAGGAAAGCAGCCTGAGGGCTTCTGATGTGTGGCACTGAAGCAGTGGAGAAGGCCTCACAGAGTCAATTAGTGGGTTATTTATGTATCACAGGATCTAGGACGTCTCCAACTGCCTTTGAGACAAGAGCTTCAGAGACAGGGGAGCTGCCGGCTTTCCCAATACAGAACCAGAACCTCGGGTCTGCAAAGGAACCATCCCTCCTGCAAAGCTTGCTTTGCATGGTGCTCCCATGCAAAATGACCGCTATAGTGACGACTATAAAAATGACCGCTAAGTGGTAGCCAGCGTGCCCTAAGCAGAAGCCGGCGTGCTGTTCTCAATAATAAATGGAAAGTGTTGGGTCCTTCTGGGGTCACTAAGACTTTTGTCAACACATCACATATAAGTGATAATAAATTACAAATAGAGATACCTGAGTTGTTAATATTTAGTAATCTAGAATGCTAGTGACATTGATAAGTAGTTCTTTGTATTTTCTGAGCATAGCTTGAGCTATGCTTGCCTCCCTCTTACTGTGTAAGATCCTGGAGCAGAAATCCTTCGTGAGCTTTGCTGAATTGTCACACGAGTCTCTATTCTGATTCAGCTTGAGACATGAAATATGTTTCAGTCTTTTGAAACACTCTAGTAGTGCCTTTAGAGAGAGTGTGTGTGTGTGTGTGTGTGTGTGTGTGTGTGTGTGTGTCTTTCAAACCCACTTCACTTTCTTTGGGCCATCTTTATCCAACACAATCTGGTTCTTAGTTAATACGTTTGATTTCTTTAAATGCTTCTTTCAACAATTGTGTTACATTTTAGTGCTGTGGTATGTGTGTCTGTGTGTTTGTTGCATGTCCACCACAGCACCCTGTGGAGGACAGATGACAATTTGCTCTACCCTACCATGTGGTATCCAGAGACTGAAATCAGGTCATCAGGTTAGTGACAAATACCTTTACCTGCTGAACAATCTCACTGACCCCTTCCATAAGTTCTTAAGGATGTTAATTTAACGCACCATATATACTGAGACACATTTCCTAGATATTTTGCCAAACATTTTTCTGTAAGTTCATATAATCGTTGTTACACATGAGACAAATTTGCATTGATGGGCATTCTGCCTTCCCAGATGTGTATAAAGCTAAACCAATATTTGAAAACTCAAA